CTTCTGCTTGATTTTAGTTGATTTCAGTAAGTTTAATGGCCTGCATGGGAGCCGGTGGCTGCCAGGCCCCACCACATTACAAGCACACAGTTGTTCATAATGTTGTGCAGAGGCTAGGCTATGAGATCTTGCTCAGGTCTTGGTTTTAAACTGGATTGAGATGTCAGAGAACAGGTGATTTTTGTTTGCTTTCTTTCAAACTGTGTGGTTCTTGAAAAGTTTTGAATGTGCTGCTGTAATCAGCAGCATTACGCTTCTCAGGTTTATCATTACCCTTGATAGAAAGGTAACGTCTCTTTTGCCTTTAAGGGACTGTTTTAAATTGGTCATTTGTCTTCAAGTTGGTATGACTAATTGAACCAAGACATTGAAGTGTTATAAGGCGTAGTTTTCACTTGCACCAGGGAAAATACCATTTTTTGCTTTACTTTCACTCGTATGGCAGGTAGAAATTGGGTTTGCAGCACGCTAGCAGATAGTCAAAGCAGACAGACTGCTCAGGCATTATGAATTTAAGAGCTGTAGAGGTTAGAAGATCTCTGTCCACCGCAACGGTGCCACACAGGCAGCGTGAACAGGGGGTTTTTTGGGTGGTGCCACATCTTAGACCATGTTCACCAAGACAAGCTCTGCAGAGAAAAGCCTCAATGGATCATGCACACCTCAGCACTTATTCTGAGACAGACAACAGAAAAAGCTGTCAGGGCAGTGATGGTTTTCCTAAAAAAGAAAAGATATAGAATATCATCCCATCAACGCCACTGAAATTTTGTGTGATAGGTATGATCTCTGGTTCATGCCATGGGCTAGCAAACTAGAAAAGGGAGATTCCATGGCTTTTGGTCAGCATCCTGAGCTTCTGAGGTACTGCTTTTACCTGCTAGATCTGCTGTTTGCAACTACTTTCTCTTGGCCTAACAGATCAGAGGAGCAGCGAAACAGAATTGCTGGCCAGCTTGGTACTGAGACACTTGGCAGAGATGCTGCAGGAAGAGATGAGTAACTCTTCCCTCTGAGAACGATGAACAAATAACTCGGAGGGGTGCTAAGACTCCGTATGCATGACAGGAGTTCCTCCTCTGCCACAGGAACTGTAAAATTAAGTCTGTCATCACTTCTGTGTATTCGTTTTTCCAACAGGTCCTCTTGTAAATCCACTAAAATTTGGTGGTCCCTTTATATTTGCATTAGCTACATTTTATATGCATTTGCTCACACTACTTTTTTTTACATTTGCCTTGAGAAACTGGGGAAAAAAATATCACAAGAGCAGCTGTGAATAGAATTAAGGAGTGGGACTGTTGCAGCTGTGCCATCCAAGCTGGTACACAGCTCAGGTAGTAGTTTGGGTCCTGGCAAATCTCTAATTCTTATTCCAGAGGTAGCTCTGTTTCAGTGACAAGCAAACTTCTGTGGAAGAAATGCTGGCCCCTGTGCAGGGCACTGGGTAAATTGTCATGCTTGTTGGCAACCTGATTTAAAATCTGGAGTATGGGAGCCAATCTGGAGCTGAAGGTGTACGAGAGGGATTTCTGTGCGACTATGAGGGCCGTGGTGAAATAAGCCTATGGTGATTGTCCAGACGCTGATACTGTGATTACAGCAAGCCTTGGCTATGTTTCTGGAACATGAGGATTCTCACCTCGTTCAATTTCAGTAAAAAAATAGCGATTTACAATTATGCCAGTCATACATCCGCATCCAGATTGGAGGGTATGGCATAACTGGGGAGAAGCAGTGCAGTTAGTACCACTGCAGGGTAATGAGGTGAGGCAAAATGCAGCTCGGATTAGGTGACCACAGAGTTTCATTCTGCCTGTAAAATCTCTTAATCTCTCTTCAGGATGCACACACATGCCCACAGGGCTGCAGCCAGTGGCCCCGGGTATGCTCACCTCCCAGTGGCACGGCACAGCCCCTCCAGCTGCTTTTGCCATCCTGCTTGGGTGCTGAGCTGGACACGGTGGCTCCGGGAGGCCAGAAGAGGCTGTGATTGCAGGTTGTGCTAATACTGCAGCAATTCCTGACCCTCCTGGCAGGACAGCAGCGGGAGAAGCCAGAGCAGGCTGGGGTCAGGCCTGCCCGCCTCCTCTTCCCCTCCGCAGAACGGAGCCCAGGTGGCTCTCGCACGGCTCTCGCTGTGGCTCTGCACATGTGGGAGCAGTGAACGCTTTCTTTTCTGGGCAGCAAATATGCTAAGCCAATAACCGTTGTACAAACAAGACGGGGTAATTGTCTCATTAAATGTACTGGCAGTGTGCAGGCACCTCTGCTGTATTCTCTCACCTCGAATAAGGCTCCGTAGGGAGAAGCCTTTCAAAGGTGTCTTCCAGGAGCAAAGCCTTCCTTCTGAAGAAGATAATGTGTCAAAATAATTTGTCAAAGATATATTTAAAAACCAGTTCATGCTCCTCTTTTCTGGTAGTTCACAAAAGCTCCTGCCCCTCAGCAGCTCTCATGCATTTGCCTCTCTTTTGGGGAGTCCCACGCTTGCCTTCCCAGCTCAGTGTTTGAAGTGCCATACAAGTAAAAATATGCTTGTCAGTGTGAAGAGAAGAGGTGTGGTGGGGACGATGGAAAGCCACGCAGGCCTCTGTTCTGGCAAGCCTTAAAAACAAGGCCAGTTTAAACTTCTGTTTTTAAAAGTGTGGTGAACACATTTAGTGGAAGAGGAATGCTCTCATGCTTGAGGTTCAGTGGATGTGTCAGTCCTGGCAAAGGTCCGGACGAAAAAGCAATGAGGTGAAATGAGGGCCAGAAGTAGTTCCATAGTTCTTTTTAATCCGTCTTTCAGCATTTCATTGGGAACAATTTTTATTTTTTGTGTCGTGATAAGTTATTCTGTCAGAAAATTGGCACTGGAAAAATTACTGTAATTTGAATAATCATCTCCTTTCCCTAATGTTGGAATCCTGCAGAAGATACAGTGTATTTGTATTTAGTAGTATACAAAATTAGGTAACAAAAATTGTGAGGCTGAGGGACATAGTTGTGTGCTTCATTATGATTTACGTTTGATCCTTGCAAAATTAAATACTTGATATAGTATTTAAAGGTGCATCTTCAAAACACCATTAAATGCACCTTAGAATGCAGATTCTTTGCTAGTAAGATTGTCAATAGCTTCCATACCCTGTCACAGTACAGGGTTATCAGCATGTGACTGCACTATATTTTACTGCTAGGTATTAATTAATTTACTTATTTTGCCTGGATGTTTTTTGGCTGGTGCTGATCCTTGCTCAAACCACTGTGCTGGTACAACTGGGGGTACAGTGTGCTGGGGCTCAGGGCGGGAAGGAGTCCTAGGGAGCAGGGAGGGGAAATGCCTTAAGACTTGATACACTGAAAACGCAGCAAGTAAAAATACACTGTGTATGAGGCAGGATGTTTTTTTTTTTTTTGCTCTCACAAGCACTTCCCACTAGAAGTTTGGGCGTTCTACACGTTGGGTTAACAATTCGTTGTTGTTAGCATGTCTGATACGCGCTTCTGCTTAATCACCACCTGAACTCTCCGTTACTCTGTGACTGTTCCCACTGTGAAATCCCGTTTCTGAGATGTTTGTAAGGTCCAAGTGCAATTAATTTAGGCTTTAATCATATAAAACCTTCCCTCCCGTGTGACTCAATGCCTGTCTAGCACAGCAGTGTAGTGTGATTGGCATCAGCCTTGGGAGCAAGCGACGAAACCTCAGACTGGGGACACTGAGGGTTGGCCACGGGTCTCTTCCTCCGGCTCTGCAGATATACTGCCTGGGACAGACCTGCCTGTTGTGTGGACAAGAGGGTTCAACATGTACAGGGCTCTACCCAGTATTGACTCTGAAAAGAACTTTTAAAAATCAGGCTTATTTTTGCCTTTTTGTTTGTTCTGCCTCTTTCTCTTTTTTTTTTTTTCATTTTGTTTTTGTTTTCTTTTAGGCAGGTGCTATCATATCTGGGATCCCTGGGTTCCTGAAGGGAATTATTTTCTATTTCAGCAAAACTGTGGTTGTGTTTTATTTTAATGCCTGAAGGTATTCTTACTAATATTGGGGGTTAAAAGCTTTGTAAAAAACTTTTTTTCTTTATACAAACTGTAAAAGTATCCACTTTTTAATACTTATTTATTTATACTTACATCACTCAGTTTGTGAGATAGTACAGCCTGTAAATAGCTAGTTGGTTTTGTCACATTTTGTCATCTGCCAAATAATTTGACAAATTTGCCATAAACTCCCTGACATTTTTGATCAAAAGAGTTAGTTTTCTTCATTCTTTGCTGCCAGACAGGTCATGTATCTTTTCAGGCTTGAAGAATTTCTATCAGCTATTTAAATGCAAGGCCACAAAGACAAAGCCAGACTCAGGCTGCAGCGAGCTGAACTGGGGTGATTCAGGACCAAAGGAGTTGCAGCACATAATTAAACAGCAACTGCACCCTGTTCCAGAGACTTTATGTCTTGCAGTGTTAACTGCTTGCTTTACCAATGAAAAAGGGGTATATACGCAGTTATCGGAGACAGTACGTGAACAAGGACAGTGAAAACTGTTGTCAAGTGACACTTAAAAAGGGTTTTTTTCCTACTACTTAGGCAGGGAATGTGACTAAAGATGGCTGCTGCCAGTTCCCTGCTGCCGAGGGAAGAGGATGCATCCCAGCTTCCCAGCTCTCGGTGCAGGGAGGAAAAGAAAGGGCAGAGCTGGGCATCGGTCTTTCCTTGGCGCTAATGGCAGCCGCCTTTGCTTTTACTCCCTGCGGCTGGGCTCGGAGCCAAGGGAATTATATACAGCCATGGCTGTGTGCTGAAAGGAGGAGGAGGAGGTAGGGTAATTTTTCTCAAGGCTTCTTGCACCTCTCTCTGATGTTGTCCTCAGCAGCAAGTTTCTCTTCACCTCTTAGTGATCTGTGAGGATCCAAGCTTCTGTCCCCCAGCTCGCAGTACTAAAACAGGAGAGGAGAGACGCTATTAGCTCAGTTTTAGGGCAGTAAATCTGGCACAAAGCAGCCATCTCGTTATGTTGGCCTTTAGACAAGGAGGTGATACACCCCCACCCGATGCAGCTGAGCAGCATGAGAAGGGAAAGCCTCAAAGTTAGAGTCGCCGCAGGCTTGGGCATTAGTAACTGAGCAGGAGCTGAGTAGCCAGCACAGGCCTCGCTGGCAAGTTTTATGTTGTGGTGTCAGCAACCTTAAAGTGATTTTTATACAAGGCCGTGTTGAATTTGATGGGAGAAGAAATATCCTGAAAAATCTATTGACAACAGGAGTTATTTTTGCTGATTTTCAAAGTAGTATGTCAAAGGAGCAGGCTACAGGCAAGAGGCAGCGTGGTCTGTAGGCACAGGGCCATTTGATGGTGAATGAGGAAGATGCACACAGGGACATGCTTGTACCGATGAAGGCAGCACCGCAGCGTGTTGTTTACCGCGGGTGAATAGGCAGAGGGGAGGGGATGGCCTGGAGCTGCCACAACCTCTCTTGCACTACCTGAAAGATCAGCAGTACCTGCAGTCTCATGGCAGGGCCTGGAAATCAACTCTGAAGGGCTCTCAGCAGAACTTTCTGAAGTCCTACACAGATGTTGTTGCCTTTTTGTTTGTGTGGCAGCGCAGAGTGTGCGTACAGAGGAATATACACGAGTTTGTGCCACTTTCTGGGTTCAAAAAGCATTTTTTTTCTGCAGGATGTGTTTGGCCATGGCTATTTATTTGTTGGTGTCTAGTGCTGAAATGAAGTCATACCAGCTTCTACCTTCTATAAACCAGATGGGCAGCTTTCCCAAGATGTGGGGCTTCTGCTCTCCCTTCACGCCTGCCGCTGTGACAGGCTTCCCCTGGCTGGCAGACTGCTGCCTGCGCTGTGCTGGTGGCCCGATGTGCCTGGGGGGGTGGCTTATGGAAAGGAATCTGCAGCCATTTCCGTCTCTTTGAAGGTGTTTCTGGCCCTGGCAGCTTGCTGACAGCGAGGCCTGTTTTCCCCTTATTTCTCGTGCATCTCTTCACTCAGTGGGGTTGTTTCCTGTCGTAACTTCTGGGGTTACCTTGCAGCCTTCCCACCTGTCCCTTCTTTTTTTTGCTTTGACCACAGGGAGCTCTGTGAGCATAAGTTCATTTCTGCCAATGTGCATGCCCTTGAAAAATACTCTTACGAAGGAAGTCAGTTTATTGTAGCAATATCCAGGGACTCCAGGCAAACTCAAGGACTCTCATTTCATACTTTGTCCAAGGAAACACACAGGAAAGTGCAACTTTTGCCCTGAAGACCTGTAATGGTAAATTCTGCTGAGGCTGGTGCATCCTCTGAAGTCATCAGGGGTTGTATGTTACATCGTCCGGAAAGAGGAACAGCAGAGTCAAATCCATGTAATGCTGTACCTCGTCTGACTGGCGGGAGTAAATTGGAAGTGAGAAAGAGGGAGGACAGGAGCGGTCGAGTACCCATCGTTGAGTGACAAAGTTTCGAGTAGCTCAGTGGCTGCTGACTCGCTACGCTGGGCTTGTACCAGCACGGAAAAGATCTCAGTAGGGCTGGGGACTCCACCAGGGTAAAGGGGGTCATGGGACTGGAGTTCAGAGAGCACAGTTTGAGCCCTGCTGCAACAAAAATTCACGTGAATGATTGATTTTACACACATGAAGAGTTCTTTTAAAACCAGTGGAAATATTCGAGTACATAAGTCTTTGCCTAAGACTGAGACTTAGAAATTAATGCAATTTATGTGTTTCAATTGTCCACATGAGATGATTTTTTTTTTTTTAATGTATCATGTGATGTGGCGGGGGGGAGAATATCCTGAGGAGCTTTGTTATATGCGTGGAAGTGTTTCAGCCTCTGTCGTTGAAAAACAAACAAAAAATGAAACTAAAAAGCAACAATTATATTTGAAAGCAAGAAAGGATTTTCTTACTAAATAACCTCAGACTGAGCATGTTCTAACAGAAATGCTACAGAACACCATCTGTTGAAAACCGGTGCTTTATGTAGTTTTACATGTTGGAAGTTTATTTTTTATGCAAAGGCAAACACAAAAAAAGAGCATCTTTGTTCTCTTGCAGAGAGTTGGATTGAACGATGTCTCAATGAAAGTGAAAACAAACGTTATTCCAGTCACACCTCTCTGGGGAATGTTTCTAACGATGAAAGTAAGTAACTTGTCATTCATTTAAAATGAGTTTAATGTGTCCAAGTGCTAATTTCCTACTATATGTTGCTACATCGTGGTGATATTTTTAGTACTCTGTAGTTTGAAGAGTCAACTCACTTGACACATCCAATAGCTTTATTGTTGTTTTTTTTTTTTCCTGGAATATTTGCTATTTTGCATCATTTAAAAGGAAGTAATACTATTGATTAGTTAAAACAACCAGAAGAATTTCTGTGTCACTGAGTAAAGGTTGGATGACCTCTAAAATGAGCTGTTAGTATTAGCTCATGAGTAAAACCATCTGTTTTGCTTTTCACTGGCAAACATTGTGCGGTTGAAATACAGGAAAAATTGTACTGTTTTTTGATACTACTATACCAAATCATACATATAAAATCTTAATCAAACAATCATCAGATTAAAAAAACCCCACATATTAAATAATGATATTGCTTCCTTTTTAGTCATTGAGAGGGAACAATTATAAATCTAGCTGATTTCAAAATAGCTATTTTTTCTTATCTCTTCTAGTTATGGTAATTTTAGACCCTGATTTTTAACAACAGCAGGTAATTAAAAAGACCCCCAAATACCTTAAAATAACCTAATTGTTTCTTTTTAAAACTGCAAGACAATTTTTAGTTTACCATTTAGTTTTCCCTATTTATGCAATTTCTATTCTACTTAATTTGCCTAAGGCAAAATAGTTGTCATGTTAGTTTTCCTCTCTGTATTTCATGTTAGTCCATGTTACAGGATATTAATGCAGACTGAATTTTTTACTTCAGAAAGACTCACATTTTTATAATATTCAAGCACATGTTTAGAAAATGTATTTTTGATCACTTCTTGATTGCTGAATGTCCCTTCTACATTTTTTGCATTTTAAGAGGACTACTTTATTTTGATGTCAGTAAAATTGCATGCCTTGCAGCACAGTGTTTTATTTGTCGAGAGTTCTCATTTGAGGCAGTATCTCTTCTGAAGGAGAAAGGAGGTGTTAGGAACATGGTATTTATTCATGACTCCCAAGCTAGGGACAGTGGATGAGAATCCTTAAAGACAAACAGTAAAACTTGGACAGGTATTGGTTTTTTGGTTTTTAAAAAATTAAGGAATTAGAAATTAGTTTCTCTTTAAAAATAAAATTGTAGTGAATTGTAGTGAACACCAAAAAGCATCTGCTTGTTAATTTGCATCTTAGGAGAACCTGTAAGACTTACTTAAAAAATTCATTTCACTCTGATGCTACTGAGAAAGTGATGGAAAGAATCTGTAATGAATGAGATGTGACTTCAGACTCTTAATAGGTTCAAAATTCAGGATTCAACCTGTTGACTTCAGTGAGCTTTTTCTTAGACTCCCAGTTCAAGACAGTATTGTCAAGGTAATTATTTAGCTCCACTAGCTATATTAAAAAAAATTATAATGCCATAAGTATCCTTCTATCTTCTGTTCTAGATCTGTTACCCTAAATAGGTTGTAGCAAAACTAGCTGTAGTTTGTTTTATGTGCTTTCAGTTTAAAGGTCAGTGTGAGAAAACTTCCACATACCTAGGGACAGTAAGAAGTGGACCCATGTGGATTAGCAAGAGCAGGTATTTCAGACAATGGCACTGAGCAGATAGGATGGTTGTTCATTCTGTTTTCTGGTACTGGAATTAAGGGCCAAGTGATGATAATGAAAGGTGGCGAATTTAGAACTGATAAAACAAATATATAAATTTATCCCACAATTTGTGTGCAGAAGACATTGTTACAGTGTATAATGGAAACTGAAATGAGAGTGAGAACTGATTTCATCTCACTTCTTTCTTAATAGCCAGTTCTTACAGATGCTTCCTTTGCACTGATACCAGAATTTCTGCAGTGCAGATAAGAGAACTAATCCACCTGAAAAGTCATCCTTGTTTCGGGGGGTGAGGGGGAGGGGAGAGGAAGGAGTAGGACAGAAAAATAAGCCACTTACCCAGCAGCAAGACCAATAATCTGTGAAATCCGGAACAAACCAGAAGTTTCACCTTAGAAATCATTGTAGTATGTGCTCCTTTCCAGTCCTTGAGTTCTTTCTAACATTTCTCTAACAGTGCCCACCACACACCAATCGAGAGATTTCCAAACCATCGTGTCACTCTGTCCAGCCTCTGTCATACATTTACAAACAGCAGGAGGCAAAATGTTTTGAGAAAACTTATGTAACTCTATCTGAATTCTTCAGAACGGTGGTCAAATTGCTGTTGTCAATGGAGCTCCAGTTCTCATCTGCAGCCAAAAGAAGGCATCATCTATCTTTCTCTCGACTACTTAGGGTTTTTTGCCTCTAAATACATTGGGTAGCTGTTGGCTGTACTCTACAAGAGAAAATGTGGCTTTGGTGGTGTGGGGGTTTTTTTGTAGGTTTTTTTTTTTTTTTTTTGGCTTGCATCCAGTGAAGACTATGAGAATTTGCACTGTGAACTGATAAAGTTCTTACTCAGTATCATGCTTGCTCTTGTGACTTTTTTTTTTCCCCTGGATGTTTTTAGAGTTCATAGGGGTTTAGGACAAGAGTCATAGTTTTGCTGGTCTCCTTTTCTATAGTTGAAGTATGCTACAGAACCATACTTCAGGGCCCAGGGGTCCTTTGCAATCTTCTATTCTCATCGAGACACCTCCAGGCCTCTTGAACCTGCATGACATTGTGAAGGGAAGCAATGACTCTCAGCTATGGATTCCCATGCTCTCACTGCTTCTTGGGGCACTTCTTACCCTCTTGGAACCTTCTATGAACTCTCCCAAAACACAGCTTTTACACCCTTATATATAAAATTCTACATTTTATCTCAGTTTCCAATTTTTTAAACATTTTTCCTTCTACCATTTCCACACTCTACACGTTAGTCAAAAGATCCACAGGAAAAGGGAATGGTACAGCCTCATATCTAATAACTGGAAAACCCTCCACAACACTTTGTGTACTTCGCATTGAGCCAGATTCTCCAAATTGCAATAGGGGTCTGGAAGAATACAATTTAAGGATTATGAAAGCTGCAATGTCAGTTCCCTGGGGAAGGAGTCATGACATTACATGATGAAGTGGAAGGGTTTCTTGTCCAAATTTCTTTTGCATGTTTAGAGATGTGAATGTGTAGACAGTTCATATGAGATAAAAGATTCATATTACTTTTTGCATTTCAAAAGCAGTGTTCAAAATCCATGTTCAAACTGGCTGAAATGGGAGATTTATCCAATAGTTTCTTTTTTCCTTTTTTGTTTAAACTAAACGTCTTATTCTTCCATTGAAAAAAATCTTTAAAAAAGAGCTACTTGATTTCATCGAAATTTTCCTTGGGGAAAATTCTTTCTTTTTTCAATCACACCTACTCAATTAGAACTATGCTCTTGTGTTTCTTGGAGGATTTTAAAAAATACCACTATTTTAAAAGCATGGACTACATGCTAATGAGCCTAAGTCTTACTTATGGCTACATGTAAGTAAGAGATGAGGTAGCTTCTTACTGTCACTTAAGTTTAGCTAAGGGCAAGTCACCTTTGAGAACAGACAGAACCTGGACTGCAGGGGCTACAGAGGAAGAGTCTATTTCTCTGAAAGGTGTGGAGCTACCTGAACTAAGGGAAGGATTTTATCCATATAAAGCTACTAATAACATATTAGCTCCTCAGAGGTTCTCTGAGATACACAGAGGCAGCACTGGAAAGTACAGGACTCTTCTATTATGTCCACAATGGAAAGCAGAGCTTTAACTCCACTTTAATTATGACAAACAGACTAACATCAGTGTTTTAGGAAAAGGTGTACTAATGCAGGGTCTTCACTTCGTGGATGTTTCACTTACTGTGTTTAAGGCAGCATGCTTAAAGAGGTGCTGAGCATAGCTCCTATCGTCACCATGTCTTGCTCCAAGAAGCAAGAAATCCCTCAAGGTGGACCTAAAACCAGACAGCAGAGTTAGAGGATACGACTGAGAGTTCAGGGAAAGCCATGAACATATGCACAAGGTACAAACAGAATTCTACTCTGGTAGCTTTGAAACATAATTTTGAAAGGAGAAAGATGAAGCTGTTAGCAAAGAAACTGCCATAGAGTTTGGGAAGGAGAAGATTCTCTGATATCTCTGGGAACCAAGAAATACTATTTTTCTAGTACACTGATGATCCAGGTTTGAATATTTTTGAAGGCTCTTCTGTGCTGAGAGTTTTACTGTCTAAGCTATTACCTGCTTTCAGCTTGGGATGAGTACCAGGTTTCCCACCTAACCAGGTACCTTTTCTTGGAACGCTGGTGGTCCTCCTACTGGCAGTGGAGCAAACTCATGAGATCTGCTCCTAGCAAACATTTCTCCTTGAGGTGCTGTGCAGCTCCCATATGTGCAAATACCTGCAGCTGTGTGTGTATCAGGAGCAGGGTTTCTCCTCGTGACTTCAAGTCCCTTTGTGTTTGTCACAGAAGAATCTTCAGCTCAGTTCTTTGACAGTGCCTTGAAGCAAGACTTTTTCAGTGTCTGTATTTCCTTTCTTTACAAAATAGACTGGATTTTAAAAGTATTGAATTTAAAAAGGTAGGTGTTCAGTTTAATCTACAGTGTTGTTGGGGACTGATAAAATGACAGGCCAAAAAGTAAGGGAAAAGAGCATTCCTTACCTCTTTCATGCTGTATAAATGGCTCTGCGATCAGACCTGAGTCAGGAGTTACACAAAACATTCCCTACTCAATAGGGAAGCCATTAAGTGTCTTGCTACCAACTAAAATACAAGGAATAGGGATAATTATTTTATTTTTTTCTGCTAGTCAATTATCTGATTATATTGTTAAAAGTGCTAGTAAAAGTAATACTGAAAGTTTGTATTTCTAGGACCCCTCCATTCCTATACCATGTGCAATTCTTTCCATCTATCTAACCCAAAAGTGAAAGTTTTCTGAAAATAAATATTTTAACAAACACCTGGGGAAAATGAGAAACATTTTGGCTGACAGCTGATCCAAAGTTCTGTTTTCTTGTACAGAGACTTGATTTTGGGGGAGACAAGCACTAACTCTCTTGAGAAATGTAGTTTTGTTGAAAATTCAATTGTTCAATGGGTAATATTTTGATGGAAAATGGTGTTTAAAGAATTTTTTTTAATAAGTTCAAAGTCTATCATTCTCCTTCTTGGTTTTAAGGGAGAATTAGTGGAAAATGCTAAGAGTCTTGAAGAAGGATCCCCAGGAAGCAGACATACCTGCAATTTAAATTGAAGTCTATGATCTTATTGTTAGTTTGTATTGTTAAAACAAATCCTTACATGGAAGGAGCTGAATATGGCTGGCTTGTAGTGTGTCTGAGGGCAGGTTAGGGTAAAGCACATGCTCACAGGTGCTCACTCTTAATGCAAGAGAAAAACAGTAGGGGTAAGGATGGAAGGGATGTAAGGACTCTAATATTGTACAATTTAGATACTGGCTTGGTCTGACGGAGTGCCACATACCCAGGGGAAAATTAAGTCTAGTTAGCAGAGGTGAGCGCCATCTAATAACAGACCTTTGAATACCAGACACTTTAAATCAAGAAAGGATAAAAAGTTTTATTCTGGGGAAGGGGGAGTAGTACCTCTTGGTTCCACAGGCAGAGATTTAGGATTTCTGCACCCAAGTTAGATGAGGGATTATTTAGATCAGTGGCTTTCAGCCTTTCCAACTTGCATCCCCCTAGCAATTTCCAGCGAGGTAGAAACCAACTGCATACTGAACTTAAACCAGTGGATGGTAGGCTTTGACAACGACACAGAAAATACTGGTTAAGAAAATGGTTGACTTTCACCTGGGAAGCAGTAACCTTAATTTGAACAAGCAGAACAGTGGGGCACAGGAGGAGGACTGGGCCTCCACTTGCTGCTGATACCTAAAGGCGGGAGCTTTGGTGGTCATACCTTGCTGTGGTTGTACCTCGCAGGGAGACCCTCCCCGTGACAGCGAAGGCCTGAATCCCTGTGGTCGGCAGAAAGGCACGGCAGCGCCCGGTGCTGTGGGCCCCTGTTGGCGAGGCCTGCGCGCCCCTGTGACTGCCAGCTGTAATTTTCATTACTACAGCGGGGAGAACTCCCTGCCCTGGTCAGCACTTTACCCCCTGCAACACTTTGCTGAGACGTACCGTTTATAAGTACCATTTATAAGACGTACCTTTAAGTCCTCTTTCACTTTTACCTCAGGAATGGTTGGGAGGCCACCGGCTGCTGGACACCCACAGGGCCTTGGCAGGCTAGGCCAGCCTGCTCCTGGGCAAAGGAAGCTGCAGCAGCCTCTGTGCCCCAGGCCGCTGCCATAACTCCCTCTCAGCCCCGCTCCCTAATTTTTCCCTGGCCGGGACGATGGGGAAGCCACAGCAGGATGCAGGGCCGGAAGGGGCTCTGGTCAGGCTGCCTGCCTCCTGCCTCTCCAGGGGGAACACAGGGCCTTCCCTGCAGGAGCTCGCTTGCCCTCCCAGCAGGCGCTCTCCTACCTCTGAGCTGGGCTCCCTCATCCTGTTGCTTAGAAAACTGTGAATCCCAGCCCAGAAGGCTCTTCCCACCTCAGAGGAGGGCAGACATGGCCGCCTCCTCCTCCCCAGGGAAGGCGGGAGTCTGGCGTACTCTTAGGGTGTCTGTGCTGGCAGTTAAGGGTAAAAAGGGCAAGAGAGTCGGTGTTGTGAGAGGGGATGGCCCTGGCTATTTTATCCACCCGGTGGTTTAAATCCTTGCTGCTTGGCTCTACCTCCCACTACGGAGAAGGCGGTTGTCCCGCTGCCGGTGAGGCCAGGGGCTGGGGGTGCGTGTCAGGGGGCGGGCGCCACGCCCGCATTCAAGCCCCGTGTGCCGACGAAGGTTTGTTGCATGCCGACCGTTTGTTTAGGAAAAACAAATGAAAAACACAATTTAAAAGTGATTTGAAATGTGTATGTTGGTCCTATGCGCTGAATAAAAGCAGGCCCCTGAAAGGCAGGGAAGGAGTGTGCGGTCCAATAATTAGAGGCCCATTGTCATGCAGATGCAGAAGAGGGGCTGCTCGCAGTGTCTGCTGGTAACTGTAAATCTGGATTTTCCTGACGTTCAGGGGACCGGCCTCACACGCTAAAGGATGTTCGGTTAACAGAACTAGCCCTATATGTAACAGAATAAATATTGTGGTGCGAGGGCTGAAGACAATGTTTTCAAAAGTGGGGTTTTATTTGTGTGCGCTGGTTCTCGGGACTGCACAAAAGGCCTCCCAACGGGATCTGAAGTTCAGAGGAGATAGCCCGGCTCCCTTAAGATTCAGCGTCCTAAAGGCTCACTTAAATAACTTCTGAAAGTTAATTGGATGAAGAAATGAAACTTGCAGCATGGTGTACAGGCACAGTCGTTTACCTTGTGCCTTCTACGCTTAATGCTTTCAACAGGGACAAGGCCGTGAAAATATCAAACTGTGTTTGATACAACAGCGTTTCCCAAAGAATACCCTTCTGGAGATGCTGATGGTGCTTCATTTAGGAATGTTTTATATGTGTCACAAATGACAATTTAATAGGAGTTATTCTAGACATACGTTTAAATTTTTTCAAAGAGCTAATGTGAACTGGGAAATATTGAATATTTTAAACCAGTTTTGTTTTCATTCTCTTTTCCTTTATTCATCTTTTATTCAAATTTTTGGAAAGTCAGCAAATCAGAGTTACCTTGGAAACAGTTAATGAGGAATACTATCAGAAAAAATTATCTGAAAAGGAATAAAGTGTATTATAGAATGTTTTTAATTTCAGTTTTTCTTTTTCAGGATTAATCTTTGTAAATTTGTAAACATCTAGTATATATTATATGTTAGGACCACAACAGTGAATGAACCCCATTAAGTTAAATGCCTTAATGAATATAAAACTTGGGTAAAGCAACTGTTCCCTTAAAGGTGAAAGTGGTTTTATGTTCTGACATCCTGCTAAGAGGTCTAAGAGTCACTTTTTTTTTTTTTCATACAAACTTATCCTTTCCGCTGTCATTATCCCTATGCACTACTCTGCTCCTGCTGTCAGTGATGTTTGCAAGATTTATTGCCTTAAGCAATATCTACAGATGCTAACCTAGCATCATTATTTACATTTTCACAATTCAGCAAATGTTTTTGGAAAGCTTTGGCACTTGAGAACATTTTTGATCAGATAATTCCTTCCCAGTTTATAAATGCCTGAGTAATTCCTACCGAAATTACATAGTATTTTTTTGTTTCTTAACAGATGAGGAAAAAGAAAATAATAGAGCATCAAAACCACACTCAACTCCAGCTACACTGCAATGGTAAGATGCCTTTTTAAAAAAAAAAAAATCAAGAAAACTGTTAGTGTGTTTTCTTATCCTTTTTCCAACTGAAGTGAATAGAGGTGTTGGACATCTTATACAATTCTAAAGATACTTTCAGTGTATGTGTTTAATCTGCTCATTAGCATTCTGTACAGCATTTCTCAACGAATGTCTTACTCTTGCGGGATTTGTTTGAACATAGGAAACCTCTGATACAGTTTAGAATATCTACTTGGCATATTTCTTTGCCAGCTGGTGATTTGTCGTTTGTCATCGTTGTTATATTTATTACAAAAAGAAAACTAGTACCGGGATTTTTTTTTTTTTCAAGTTTCACATTTGTTTCAGTGTATGATGAAGGCCACTTTTACAAACTGTTTTATTGATGTGAGATCTCTGTAATTTAACATAGAAGGCAATGAAAGAAGAGAGAGAGTTTGAGGTTTGATTCATTTGCCAAAATCCCCTTGCAAATTTAGGGAGAGGAAAAAAGGAAGGGTAATTAAGAAGAGAGAAAGAGAGGATGGGGAGAAGAAAGTTTCTGAGTCAGTCTACTGTGCGATGAAAAATGAATGTGTTGTTCACTGTGATTTACAACAGTATTTTTGACTGCATGTTCTGTAACGTGACATCTACTTCTGACATCTCTTTCTATAGGTTATTTCTTAGACTTTTGTTGACTTTTCCCTTAATTTAGGTTTTTAATTCTGGTTTAGCTTTCTTAATATTGCAAGTGGTCAACCATCTTTCAGGAGGTTCCTTGTATCTGGCAGAACAGAGCTCTGTTACAGAGAAGCCTCGGAGCATGCTTATCTGAAAACCCATACTCCTTAGCTTGTTTCAAGTCTTTTAAAGAAAGGCCTTTACTTCACCTGTGAGTACTTCTCATAGTTTTCTGAATGAAAAGATAGATCACTGGCAAAAAATATGGGGTTTTAGCAAAACGTTAGCAAAATTATTATTCTGCTTCTGTCAGTCTCTTGGGAGATCTAACTCAACAAACAGCAAGGAATAATTCGTTCAGTGAATTTTACTCTTTTTCTCTGCCTATGAAATTCTGTGATTCTTTGAAATGTGCCTAAAGAGGTTTATAGATTATTTCATCTATATTTGCTCTTTAAAGTTGATCAGTTAGATTTTAGATTTAAGAAAAATCCCAACAAACCTCTGGGTTGATTTAGAATAGGTTGCTGCAAGTATTCAGTGTTCTGCCTTGAAGAAACTTGCAGACGCTTCCAGTGCAAGTACTGAGATGTGCAAATATAAATAAAGGCATTTCATTCTGAACTATTGCTTCTTTGTACCTATTTGTTTCACCAAAGTGCTGTTTTTCAGAAGCTCAGGAAAAGTGAATAAAGAAGGGGAGTGACTACAGACAGAGAGAAAATTGTTAAAATAATAGTGAAATGTCATAGATGTATTTTATTATTTTCTATTATTCACCCACAAAACTTCAACAGAGTTCAAACAGGATAACAAAGAACTATCTAGTTAAAATAAAATAGCAGGCAGGGCTTACCAATCCCAAATACAGAACAATATTTATTTTGCAGTAGAGTCAGTTAAGAGTCTTTTCCACAGGAGCAAATAACGTAGTAGCCAAGAAGTCAGAGTTAATTAGAACATGCCAATGATACTGTTCCCAACAGAAAACATGCAAATACTGTAAACAATCTTCTGCCAAATACTTTCAGGCTTCCTCAGTCATAAAGGTTAGTAAATCCCTAAACTCCTGGGATATTGAGCCCTGCTGGAATGCAGCATGCACGCTAATGCTCATTCAACAGTGCTGTAGAATCCTAGAATTTTGATTCTGAAAAGGCTGCTTACCTCATCTTCCCTTCCCCCTTGCTAGTATACTGACTTGGTACCTGTCTGTCGTGTTATGTTTCTTACACATTTATGCAGGTCAGATAGTCTCCACTTTGAGTCTTTTGGAGCATCTGCAATTTCCTTCGTTCAATTTTCCACCCAAAAATACACGAGGGAACAGAAAGCAAAGAAGTTTTCCAGTTTAATTTCTTTAGCTGGTGTCAAACTGAATTATACAATTGGCTCATTAATTAATAGGCCTGTAGGTAAAAGTTTTCCAGCTTAGCAGCCATACTATAGGACAGTTTTCTGGTGGTTTCCATATGCTTTTCAGCCTATGTACTACAGCTTTGAATTGGTATTGCCTGGAGAAATTGTGCTATCAGGTTTGATACACTAAATAAAATTACAGGCTCAAAAGCTGCGGTCAAAGTGCTAAAGTAGTAAGCTTGCTTTATGTGAAGATGTGGAGTTTCCATTGTTCTCAAAAAGAAGACACATCAGCATCAGGTTATTGATGCTAGCAACCCATGGGTCAGTAAACTATCACGATCAGCACTGTACACTCTGAGTGCTTCCTGCAGATTGCACTTTACATGTTTGAGAGTTTTGCCTGCTTAGTCCTCAGACCAAGTTTTTGCACAGTGAAGAAAGACAAAAGAATAAATTGACTTGAATATGCCCTGGGTAAGCATGGGTCCTATCCTCCTACTGGAATCTTTGGGCCAGATTCAAGTGATGGAAGTGGTGGGGTAAATTATTGACCAGATTTCAGGATGAAGTGCCGAACTTGCCTTGTTCTGGCAAACCCACGATGGTCTGCAGTGTCTGGGGTCTGCCAAGTTAAAGCTGGCCATGTTTTTACTGTTAGATGCTACTATCATTTACAGTTAATGAAGGCAAGAGTGTATTGGAAAACAAAACCAGAGGAAACATCAGTAGCAAGGAAAAAGAAGAGGAGGAAAGAGGTAGGGAA